GCTAATTACACCTACTACACTTGTGGCACAGAAACAAGTAGGTACACACATAATGCCCACGATGCCCACTACACATTGTTTAAATTATTCCAATTAGAAGATTAAAACAACTAAAACAATTAATGACAAACTGAGCTATGAATAGTTTCCAAACTGGCTCGCTGCATCTAAAAATGCAAAACGCAACCACCAAGTTGCTAAACAGAAAAGACTAAGCCACTAGTGAAAATCTGAAGTGATTTTCAGCAACAATGGTCCACTTTTTTCAGGGCTGCATTTTTCTAACATACAGAGCAAAGGAGACAGAACCAGAAAACCTCACATTCTAGGCACCACGGTGATCCAGCAACACCATCTAACCTTCACCCCAGCCTAGTAGAAGCCCAAGCTTTTTGTGTGTTCAAGAGGGCTTGATGTTTTGCTCTGGAGACCAACTAAGCTCTGTAGCAAAGCATGATAAACGGGTCTAATTCTTCCCAGTTCAAATAACCTGCAACTCAGGCAAAATCCCTGTCTCATAATAACAACAACACTTCAAAGGGCTGTAAATCATCCCAGATGCTCTGGAAGCCAGACTCAGTATGGGGGTTACTTTCTTTTACACACTGGAATCCGGTGTTCAGAAACCTTTTGTCCCTAATAGTGCTCTCTGCTCCCAGACACTTCCTCCCTTTCTCCTCCTCCTCTGCTGTAGTCCTCCTAAGAACCAATTTCAAGGGGGACTTCTCTGTTCAAGCACGGTGAGTCCATCAGGTTTGAGCTATTTTCTCCCTGTCTTGCATACTCCCAGCCTCTGCAGTGGGAGGGAGGAACAAGTGCACTTGAAATGGAGCTCCCTTCTGCGGGGCAGCACAACAGCACTGAGGCAAGACTGTACTGCCAACACTAGACTTGGTCCTATCAGAAGCCTGAATCCCTTTAAAAGGGCAAAGCCCTGAGAAGAGCTCTCAGCTGCCCAGGATGTGGTGGGGGAGGTGCTGGGGGGAGGAGAAGGTTGGGGCTAATTTTGCTCCATGAGAATTACACAATCCAAACCACAACCATCACGAGCAGACCATGTGTTGAAAAGCCCAAGCCAAAAAAATAAACCGCCTCATCCTACAGAGACAGGGCTGGATCTCACCCACACATTTCACAGTGACCTGTGCCAAACTCTTTGAAGCAGAAGCCATTTCTACCCCCTACTAGCCTTCACAAGAGTGAATTGAGAGGGGCAAAAGGAAGTCAAGATTGGAGCAAGGTTCCTGGGAAAAGGGTGCAAAAGAGGAATGGTCAGACTAAAAAACTTCCTGCCCCAAGGGAGTGGAAGACATATTGCTGTGGGCAGGCCGCAACCATGGAATCAGGAGTAGGACACTGCCATAGTTTGCACATGCACACAAATAACGATAAGATGACTTGACTATTTTGTTTCTGTGAAATGGTGCTTTGCACACTCACTCCTGATTAGATCTGGGACTATTCTGCAGTCCCACAGTACTGATAGCTG